CAACAAGCTGCGGGTGAAGAGCCGGGAGGTTCACACGAAAATCATAAGTGAAGAGTAATTCATCCAAATGTTGAAAAGTGACCAAAGAAATGCACCTCTCAGCTCCCTCAACTGATTGTGTTTTGCTGCCAATTAGGCGGCCATGATGGCTGAGGAGCTGAAGAAGGAGCAGGACACCAGCGCCCACCTGGAGCGCATGAAGAAGAACCTGGAGCAGACGGTGAAGGACCTGCAGCACCGTCTGGATGAGGCTGAGCAGCTGGCCCTGAAGGGCGGGAAGAAGCAGATCCAGAAACTGGAGGCCAGGGTAGGTCTTCTGAACAGCATGTTTCCCATCTCACTCCAACCCAATGCAGCATTTTGAATACCTGGCCTTCTGGGTGATGTGGGACCCAGAAAGATGAATGAGTGCTATTCCTCATTGCCCAAGTGCTTATGGGTCCCAGGGGAGGGGTAGCATGATTAAGGTATTAAAATATATAAAGCAGAGTAAAAGAAATACATTGGGTCATCTGCAGAAGCAGAAATCCATTGAGTGAATGGATCTTAATAAATGCATCTAATCCCCATTTCTTACAGGTACGTGAACTGGAAGGAGAAGTTGAAAATGAACAGAAGCGCAATGTTGACACTGTCAAGGCTCTGCGCAAACATGAGAGAAGAGTGAAGGAACTCACTTACCAAGTAAGGAAATGACACCAGGTCTTTACCCCAGTCTGCAGGGAATCATAAACAAAATGTACAACAGAATATGATGGTACTTCTACTTTCTAGAGGTTCATTCTTTAAAATATTCTTTCAGACTGAGGAAGACCGTAAGAACGTGCTCAGGCTCCAGGATCTGGTGGATAAGCTGCAAGCAAAGGTGAAGGCTTACAAGAGACAAGCTGAAGAAGCGGTGAGTGCAGAATCCCTTGGATGTGTTTGGTGCTTCCACCCTTAGACATGTTAAAGACAACTTAGGTAAAGGGATGAAAGAAAGGAAGGGGGAGACAAGGGCAAACCAACAGAAATGACTCCTGGGACATCTGAAGAATGAGAAGAAACCAGCCAATTGATGAGCTAAGGAGAAATGTTCTAGGAAGAGAGAAAAGGAAATGCAAAGTCTGGTTGAAGAAGCAAAAGAACAGAGAGAAAGTAGTAGAGATGGCTGGAGAGCAAGATAGGAGATGGGATCACAGCATCTTCTGGACATGACTTAAGTTTAGACTTTCTTTTTATTTAAGTGTAGTGGAACAAAGCCACAGAAGTATTTTAAGCTGGGTCATATATATATATATATAT